GGAAGCATTGAACAAATGGCAGATTTTTAGCAGTATGTAACAGGTACCTGCTTGGAATTGATGACAAAGTGACTAAGAAAATACCACGGATCTGTGGAAAGGCGCGAACTTTTCACGGAACTCAGAAATACCCTCCTTTGATGCTTTAGTTGTTTTGATCACATGGTTTTCTCAGTTTTAGTTCTTAGATACGCCGGTAGCTTTTGCATAACGAAGGGTTTACATGACTTATTCTGGAGGTGTGACTCCAGGGGGTTCCATTCTCAGTCGGAAGTCTGGGTAGTTACCGGTCCCGAAAAGCTGTTTTTTTATTTGCCGTTTTTATACATTCAAGATCGCGATATTATTAGTTTTATTATTAAAGCATTAAAATTATCAGGAAACGAAACAGAATGGACTGGTTTCTTAGCTAAAACCAGCACTACTATTCTTAGCTAAATGTGGCTTCCGACCCGTAAAGTTACCGCGACTTTCGAGAAAGGGGCCCCGACCGGTAACTGAACTTTGGGCTGAGTCGCCTCCGTATCGATAACAGCGAGAAACGTACCTGTTCGTAATTTGACGAGGCTCAAGTCTTATTAAACTCTTGACCACCGCAGTGGACGAGTAGAGTTAATTATTTTTCAGGGAGAAAATTTGGCGTCTCGTAAAACAACCGTTTTTTATTGCATGCACCTCTTTCTTTTAACGGTAGGCATATATTCCTTTTGCATGCATGTCTCGGTCAAACATCAGTTTGGAAGAGCAGAATAACCTTAAACTCTGTCGTATCCGCTGCTATTAATTGTCGACACTGCCGACACTGAACGAACCAACTCAAACAAGATGTGGGTTTAAGATAACTCGAGGGAAGGTGTATCAATCTTTATTGAAGAGTTCTTAAACCCGGGTTTTTCAATATAGGATGAAGAGCGATCTTTCAGCACGCTCGCTTGTCGAGGAAGATCACCACTGATTCAATATTCTGCACTTACTGGTATTGCCTACAGAGAATCTTCTGGATTGAGCATCATTATTCAAAAATAATGTTCCTTCAATGGTCCTTAGTAGCCATTGTGCTCGTAAGTTTACTTTTTTCTGACAATCCAGTGGTTTTTATGAAGTAAATGTTACAGTTCTGTTTAGAATTATATTTTGTATGGACATGACCTGATCTGTCGACAGGTCTGTGTTTTCAGTTTTGACTTCATATATTTCCGTATGCCGTGTTTTGCCAGCCTCTATTTTTGCGGTTTCCCACAGTTGTTAATTGGCGTTCATTTGAAAGGTCAAAATCATTTCTAAAATAAATGCTGATAACAAAAGTCTTCAATATTGTGGAGGATACCGCTTATATATTGTTTCAGTAGAAAATTCCAGTCTGATATAAAAGAAACAATAAATTAACAATTAAGAATGACTAAGAGGCCCCTCACCCTACTCCGCCCAATACGAGCTAATTGCCGCCAATTTCCACTTCCACAATAAGAAACGCCAAGTAGCCAATCAGAGAGCGGAAGAGTTATCTACGGACCAATCAGAATAGCCGTTAGATAAACATCAGCTTGTACCGCAAGTTTGAAGGAAAACTCCCGAATCAAACATGGCGGATGCAGATTATGATTATCTGCTCAAATTTTTAGCTCTTGGTGATTCAGGCGTCGGGAAAACTAGTCTTTTATTTCAGTACACCGATGGAACGTTTAATCCTAAATTTATATCTACTGTGGGAATAGATTTTCGTGAGAAGCGAGTGGTAAGTGATACGCTTTGTTCACTTTA